CCAGATATTATAATTCACTTTCCTCTAAATATATGAAAAGACACCGCTTTCATAAGCAGAGTTCTGCAAAATATTCATGTGTAGCTAATAAACCCATCACTGACTAATCCAAATCATTATTATTGTCAATAGCAAAATTAAAATATCAGCCACTCACCAATACTGAAATGTGATCATTTAAACCAATTAGTTCCAAAATCTATCAAAACAGTACATTTACCCTATGGCATAAGAGCTGCATTGACTGTAATTAATGTAAGAGCAAAAGAGGCACACTCAAATTTCAATACTAGAACCACCTACAAAGCTCATGACAATATATATTCACTTGTAAGACACCCTCACTCTCAGCTGCACTTCTTGTTCCGTAAGTCTCATCTGTATAGTCTGTACAATAGACTGTGCCCTGGAGAACTAAAAGAAGTCAGTTCTTCCCATACAAATGGAATGGCTCTTTATAAGAACACTCAGAAACAAGAGCAAGCTTTGTACCTGAAGCCAGTCAGAATCTACTCTTTCAAAGTGAAGGGAAAAGGAGCCAGAGAAACAAGAACTAGTTCTTCCTTTATGTACATGAGCTAAAACATCCCATCAAGTGTCCAGTCATTTCTGATAGAAAGTATTTCTCTGTAAGCAGAACAGAAATAATATGCTATTATTTCCCTGACTTTCAAGCCAAATTTTATTGGACCTGGGGAGCAATAATTGTTTTATCTCTTGTAAAGGATCTCCTATACTCAAATGCCACTGCAAAGACAAATATTGACTAAATGCTATAATAGATCCCCTGCCATCATAATATGCTTAAAAAGAGATATTAATTTTCCCCAGCAATTGGTTTTGTTATTTAAAATATTTCTTTCAAGTACCTGCTGAAATCATCTCGTGAAAATCATATTAAACAATTAAGCACATAGTCTGTTGATACAGTATGCAGAAGTTCTTAGCACTAAGATTGTTGATCCTATATTCCCAAGATCTTTTGTCTTAAAGTGCTCAGTTGTCAACTGTAATTCAACTTTTCTTCATTCATTGACCAAAGACCGAACCCGAAGGGAATGTCTCTTGAGCAAGGTTTTTTGTACACTGGACATTCCAATATTTTGCTAGGAACACTGTGGTAAACCTAAGCTGCCATATCAATTTGAAACAAAATTGAGTCATGTCATCAGGTCTATATATCTACTTTTGTACCCCATAGATTGCACCTTTATAATTATAGCAAAATTACTTTTCAACAGTATATGAGATCATGTCACAAAGCTGGTATCAGACAGTTGCTGTTAATCCATCTACATTACATAATTTAAAAATTATAAAGCTTGACTTTGAAGTTTTCTCATACCTTTGAACCACATGGTTTATAAGCTCATTCATGAAAAAAAAAAAAAAGCTTCAACTTATGAATGTGCTGATCACTATGTCTGGGGTTCCCATTTGACACTTGTGACACCAATATGACATTTCTCTTGGATGCTACCAGGATCTATGTCTTTCCTGGCTTCTTAAATACATGCATTCACCACACATATAAAACAACAATGGAAAGCTAGCTTATTCCAAAGCAAAGGATGAGACTGCATGATCATTTGTTATTTCAAAGAATGCTTCTGCATTCCATAAACATTCTTAGAAAACAAAAATAATGGATGGCTCCATCCATTATATTTTGTATGGAAGCATGGTCACTGCACCAGAAAAAAAGGACACAATAAGATAATAGAGAGTGCTCAGGAGACAGTGTGGGAAAAACTAGAGAGAATGTCAGGTAATGTTCTTGTGAATCAGCATTTTATATCCATTTATGTCTCCAAGTCAGCATTCTGTGAATCTGCTAATCATTTGGAAGAGCATCCACGGTGCATTCTTAAAATTCAAAATATACTTACCAGTTCAAAAGGTTGAGGACTATGAATTATGCTATATTATAACTGAAATTATAAGCTTTTGCCTGGTCATACCTGTCCTTTCATACAAAAAAAAATCTACTGTTATATCAAAAACTATATATGTCTATCATCCTTTTCGACATGTGTGATGTCCAAGTGGATGGTCCAAAAGGGTTAGGCTGGAGCATTCAAATATTGTGAACTTCAGTGATGAGTACTACCTGATAATTAAGTCTAAATCCTTTTCTTGTAACCATTATTGTTTTTGGCTCCTGGAATTATGCAAACACTTCAAAAGAGGTACTTCACAATCTACAGAAGCATAGATGAAGCTTTTTATTAAAGCAGCTGTATTCCAGCTGTCCCCACAGGCATCTAAAATTGTATTAAAAATATACATTGGGTTTAATTTTTAAATATGTCACAGTTAAATACCTAAATAGAAAATGGAAGAGCACTTATCTTATTACATTATTCATGTAAAATTAATATGTAATTAAGTATGATTCAAAATCTGTAGTACAATCAGGATCCTTTGAAATGACTAAATGAGATTGCAACATGCTCATTGTTGCTATCTTGTTACCTCAGGATGATGAAGAAGAGGGGGGAAAATACAGAAGCCAAGCAAATATAACTTCTGAGTTTTGTTTTGTTTTTTAAAATCAGGGAAAGTGCTATATCCTAGCTTAGCTTTCCCCAACCACACATCCTCCAGCTTTGTTGAGATTATTGGCTGATTACGTGCCATCAGGTTGGTGCTGACTCCTAACAATCACATAGACAGACCTTCTCCAGGATGATCTGTCCCAAGCCTGACCCCTCAGGTCTCCCAACAGTGCATCCATCACTATTGCAGTCAAAACCATCCACCTTGCTGCTGGTTTTAAGAAGAGACAAGAACCATCCTCTTCTCTTCCCTTCTACCTTTCCTAGCATCATGGACCATTCAAAGGAGCTAGATTTTTGCATAAGGTGTCTGAAACTATATAATTTGAGTCTGATCATTTGTGTTTCAACTACCAGTATTTCTCCTAGTTTGTTTTATTTGCTATCCATGGTATTCTCAAGAGTCTTCTCCAGCATGAAAGTTAAAAAATGTCAATACTTTTTCTATGCTACTTCTTTAAAATCCAACTTTTGCTTTTATAGAGTGTCATGGGGAAAACCTTTACCTGTGTGATTTGATCTTTGTAGGTGTCTGAATGATGCCTTAACCACTACACCAAACTGGCTCTCTTACATACTTTTAGCTTCTGCAAATCAGAAACAGTTGTAACATTTCAGTGTTGTAATATTTGTGTATGTGTTTGGTTTTTATTCTATTTT